AAGAATCTGCTTAGATACCATATTTCTAAGATTTTCAGGGCCGAGTACAATAACCTCAGTTTGATCTGAATTAAGATTAAATTTGCATGTTTGCATAATTTGTGAAAGTTGACATTTCTTTGGTGTCCAATAGCAGAAATTAAGCTTTCTCGTCAGAGGTCATTTTTGGGGGGGAAAATCAGCAACATTGTACACAACTGTACAGTGGTGTGTAATGAACAAGCAGACCGATACAACAGATGTGGTGGTACAGCTTGTTAAACCAGATGTTCTGGTCTGTACCACTGCACTTCCTGTCTTTGGAACATCTGCCCAAGCAACAGCTCTCCAGGCTTTGGAATGTCGTTTTTATGGACACTGGCTGCTTTTTCAACCGTTTCAGTCTAATCTTTGCACCTGAACAAACAGTTTTTGTGTGTGTTAAGTCAGTTAACAGAGTTAAAGGTGACGTATAAATTATTCAAGCATCAAAAAGCCACCTATGAAGGGCTGTTGTGTCTACACACACAGTTTAACATGTGTAAAACTAATTTTTGTATAAGATGATTCCCAAATAGCCTTTAAAGATACACATAAAGTGTTTAATTTGTCATTTGTACACATACACTGGATGTGGGTACATAGAAAATACTGTGCAGAGCTGAGAGTCAGGGTCAGATAAACATAGGTAGAAAAAAAACATGTCAAGTAGTTTCAGAGAGCGCTGTGGTATGAGAAAACCTTTGTCATTTAGAGATGTATTGCATGTTGAAATGTGTATTGCACCAACTAAATTAGATTGTGCGTGTGTCTGTCCTTATTTTGTTTCTCCCATCAGGAATACTGTGGCAGGAAAGGAGCTGTTGTGGAAGCCTGCTGTGTGCATATCATCAGACTCTGCTCGGCTCAGGCTGGATGTTCAGAGGAGGCTGTGACCTGGATGATAACCGTCTCTGATGATAGAGTTGGTACCACAGGGACCCCCACAGCCGTGTGTCAGTCCACTCCTGTACCAACTCTTCACATAAGCACTTGTTTTACTTCAGTTATTATTTTCCACGATCCGAGTTCAGTTTATTCCTTATTTTAGTTAGTTGCGTTTTTCCTAAAATCTTACGCTTATTTCAGATGTTTTGTCTATGTTGAAGAGGTCATTCTCCTCTGTTTGGACCGTGATGTTTTAGATGACGTGCCTGTAACTGGACTCCTCCGGCAGCTTTATGAGGCCCAGGATGCTCGTGTCATCAGCATACTCGATCCTGCCAGTGTCAAGCTAGGTGGCAACACAGTCATGGACGCACAGGGTGAAGAGTTTAGGGCTGAGACTGACGGTGAGCTCAGAGGAGACCCTGCCTCCCATCCTGAACACCTCTGCTCTGGAGGTTAGAAAGTCCAACTTTCCTGGTCTGATTGTGTTGAAGACCGAACAGTAATCCAGGAAAAGCGTAGGTTCTATTGCTATCCAGGTACTGCAGGCCAGTACATGAGTACCAGTGGCACCAGTGCACTTTCTGTCCTGGTATTAATAGTTCTCACTGTGACTAGGCTAGCCTTTAGCTGTTTGATGTAGGCAGATCTTAGCAGACATGTCACATGGTCAGATTTACCAAAGGCTTGGTTCAGTGCATGCCTTCCTGATGTTACTGTAACAGTTTTGGCGTGCTTTTTCAAACGTTCCAGTGATTACATTCTCCTAGAATGATGCGAACACTGTCCAAATATCTGTTTTTGTGCTTACTGATCATGTGGTGCATCCCTTGCAGAGGTGGGAATGTACACAACACTCGAAATGTTACATTGCTGTTCTCTGGATAAATAAAAAGAATTGCACTTTAAAGTCAGGTATTCCACTAGCTTAACATTTGCCAGATCTTGGCATGGAGTCGCTTAAGTATTCTGAGGACATTGGATAAATAGATGGAAAAAAAGTGGCAAGTCTAAACAGCTATCTGCAGCTGATGAACTATATCTGAATGTAACATGCTAGAGAAGTAGGAAAACAATCTGGCAAAGACATTACATAGCACCTGAGAGACACATCTGGGACTTCTGTTGATACATTTACTGTTTCAGAAAGGGCCTTAATGGAAGAGTGGATGTCCCACATAGTTCTGACTGTGCTGACTATTTGTCTGAGGTTCAGACGTCAGTGATGAATCCACAAACCTTCACACACCGTAGATGAAAATAACTAAGTGTGTCTCCTTAAAAGACAAAGGAACTTCAGATCTGTTTGCCAATAATATTGGTTTCTATTCCTGAATTCCGAGTTCCCAAAGACCTTTTAGACACTTAAACGATCTTGATTCAAGAGTTGGGAGTTTGCCTTGTAATCGGAAGGTTGGCTGTGGCTACAACGCAGCTGCCATCACCAGTGTGTGAATGTGTGTGTGAATGGGTGGATGACTGGATGTGTAAAGCGCTTTGGGGTCCTTAGGGACCAGGAAAGCTCTATACAAATGCAGGCCATTTACCATTTTTTTAATGTGCACCTGCAGGCCAACAGGGATCAGAGAACAGCACCAACTGTTACCTACCATAATAAACTTGGTGGGCACCCAAAGCCAGTCAGGGCAGCCTGCTGCATTTAGGCCAGATGGACAGACAGATGGTCAGCTTAACACTTACAACCATGATTTTAGGGTGGCATGGGGCTTCGTCAGTCACTGGCTAATTGATCCCAGGACTATACTCGGCACAAATGTTCCTGTATTACTATGCCAGTCAGTAATGTTATGGCTCTCCATGTATGCCATGCACCCTGCTGGATTGTCTCATCTTTGCACAGCCTGCACCTGGGGTCTTGCCTGGTGTGATAGACGCCAGCCTCTATGGATCTTGTGCTCAGAGCTTGTGCTGCCATGATTAGCTCCTCTGTGCTGTCTTTCAGTCCAGCCACTGGTAGGATTTCTCAGTATAACTTATTCTGTCTGCCCGTGGGACATGCTGTGCAGGGACCAGCCCTTCCATGATGGTGCCTCTTGGTTATGAAGGGTATCTGACGACAGGCAGGGCGTCAGTGTTGACAGCCCGGATCTTGTTTTTAGCATTCAGCTGACTCCTCGGGACTTGCCTGAGCCTCTGTCTGATCCTGGTTCTTCCCACTGTATCAGTTCCTAAGGACTTGTGTGACCGTGTGCAGGTGTTTGGTGTTGTGGCTTTCCTGGCCTGTTGGTTCCCATTTCCCTGTGGAATTCTTTGTATTCCTTGTAGCTGTACTCCTGTCTACAATCTTTCCTTCTGGTAGTGTAATCAGATTAGTCCTGACTACCTTCCCTCATTTACATAAATATGTATGTGAGTATGCGGCCATTTAATAATCACACACACATAGAAATAAACACATATAATAAAATGTGATGTGTTACAAATAAAACAGAAATATAATAAGAATTCTTCTGATAAAAATCTTACAAATCTCAAATGGGTAGTAAAGAAACAGCACACCAAAATATTTTAGGGTTTTTTAGATCAGCATACTTGGTGTATTTCCTCGTTACTGTAAGTCTTTAACTATAACAGCTTGCATCAAACTGGCATTGACCTAATTAAGCATTAACAGCTCCATGTGTATAATGAGATTGGATCGCCATACTATCTATAAAGTTGTGCAAAGGTAGCTCGCATTTTGTTTTCTGACTGTTACAGTTTGCTAAACATAACACAGTCTAGTGGATTTACACGTTATACCTAAAAAACAAACAAACAAAAACGAAGCTAAAATAAATCAGCCAATGAGAAGCAAATGAATACATTTCTATCATTTTTATTTCCAGTACAGCAAAAACATCCCTCTTTAGGAATATTAACTTAAACATTTACTTGAAAACCTTTAATTATTCAAAAATCACTTTGTAAATGCCCACTCATTAGGCAGAGCGCCCATATGTTACCCAAGCACATTGCACAGAAATAAGACAGCAGCTGTGGTCTCCGTCACACAGCATGCTCCATAATCAGGTTGTGGTCGAACACCCCGAACAGGAGTCTAGATTTAGCTCATCAGCACTCATCGCTACAGGCCTGACGTGTCTAAACTGAACGAACCGAGATTCTTAACAGTTCATTCATCTGACAAACACTCGTTTGAACCCTTGTTTGAATAAAGATACTACATGATAAGAACACCAGCTGATCCCTGGCACGTTTTAGGCGTTCAGGTTGTTTGTGCATCCAGCAAGCGCTAATTTACAAATGGCCATTAATGCCCATAAAACCATTGTTGTCCATGAAGTATTAGACACAGTGGGCTACCACGGTGAACTGAGCGGCATGTTCTTTCACTGAACACACAGACTGTGATATGTTATGGATCAGTTCTGTATGTACCCCCATTCTGCCACACACAATAACTAAAGCACCAAATGTGGGTTAATCCACCACTGGAAACAGAAACAGCTGTTTTTTTAAATGATGTATATTGATTTTAAAAGCATCACAGATCTGTAGATATGAGCTATAAAAGGAACTGGAACTTCAGACCTGTATCATCAGCCTGACTCTACGTGGCCGCTGACGTCTGTGACAGGGAGCTCTTCAGCTGTGACATCAGGAATGTGCTCCTGAGAACCTCCAGGCCACAGCAAACAAACTCTGTTTAGATAACAGATTTGCTAACAAATGCATGTGGAACAACACCTGGAAAACATATTCTTCCTCTTCGCTGCCTAATAGGATTTGTGCAGTTGTGGTCTTCCAGCCTGACACAACACGACACATCACAGGGTGAGAATACCCCAGAACTACTGTAGTACCACCCCCACTGTCTGCACTGCGCTGGCATGCATGCACTACAGCCCAGCAAACATATGTGCACATCTTAACCCTGGAAACGAAAGACTCAGTGACGACCAGCATGATGCAACCATTACAAGCTATGCTGTAGCGTCACCTTTAACTTCTTTTTCATATGGCAGCTGTTACTGACTCAGTGTCATCTGAGTCATCTGCAAATAAATCAGTATATGCAGGCAAAAACAGACAATCCCCGTTAGGATAAACACTCTGTCCCTGCAGGCTGACGACATCAAATCACTTTAGACTGAAATCCCATAATATACACAGCAATATACACACTGAATGGAGCAAACACAGTAACTGGCTTCATATATTCACTGGGCTAACATATGCCCATTAGATGTCATCCTCATAGACGGATTTCTGTAGAGAGCACCTCCACAATAAGAACTGTTCCCAGGGTGATGGTGCGCAGTGCCGGAGGCCCGGCGCGGTTTCATAAAGCCTCCAAATGTGTCTCCTTACCTGCCAGGCAGCTTCTCAGCGCCAAAAGGGCAACGAACACCACCGTGTGTCCGAGCAGACGAGCCCTCATCCTGGGCACAGACACCAGACGAAGGCGGAGGACGGGGAGATGGTGGCGGCACTGATCATTCCCCCATCCTCCGGTGTTTAGAGAGGAGAGGGACGCAAGAAGACAAAGCAATAACGAAAAACGGCGAAGACACGAGGATCAGCGAGTGTCGTCGGGACGCTGCTCTGCGTGTTTTCCGCAGGATGTCTGCATTTTCCTCCGGCCCTGCTCCTACCGGACAGCAGTCCCTGCTGCTGCTGCTGAGGCTCAGCTGTGGCAGAACGACGCCAGGCTATGACGCAAGCACGCTGCACGGCCTTCACCTGCCGCTGACATCAAACGCGTCTAAAGTCCGATATCACTTTATGCAGAATCACATGTTTTTATACTCATCGTCACAATGTTTGTGTGCAAGAAGAGAAATCCTTTAATTCCTTGTTAAACCGAGCCTGGAGCATGATGTCACTCAGAGGGTCCAGCTGTTTGTCTTGAAATGACAACTATATCTTTTTTCTTTTAAATAATTTCGAGTTTTATCTCAAAATGATATTGTTTTTTCTTAATGTGGCCCTACTACTCCTTTGTATGGTCTGTAGCTAACCTGGTGTAACCAGGTGAGCAATGTGCGATTGGACATGTCCACTCAACAAATTTCTTAAAACATCTCCGTCAAATACAAAGAAATAGAGGAAACACAGTCGACTTAATCTTTACACCCGGAGATCCGGTGGGAATGAAAGCAACAAGGAAATGCACAAACCGGAAACATGTGCTACACGGTTATTTTGATTTTGACTACACTGATCCCAGAAACATGTGGAAGGGTGGAAACACATCACTGGGTACAAAAGGAGGGACGTGGACTGAACACACGCTCTGCTCGAGTCATCTTACTCCACCCACAACACCAAGTCTCCACTCTCGCTGCTCTCAGGGGGGCTGCCAGGACACCGCAGAGGATCATCTCCACGAAGAGTTCATGAAGTTAGTGCCATAAGGTGTCCCCTGCACTTGGTTTATATATTATTATTATTATTATTATTATTATTATTATTATTATTATTATTATTATTATTATTATT